AACCGGCTGCCCCAGATAGCAACCCCCCGTCTGTGAGAGGCATTAACCGAGGAAACCCGCATGATAACAAATCAACTCCATCGACCTCCCACCGTCGTCTACAGCGAGGCCAGCCAGTAGCACACAACATTCATGGCGGCAGAGACACTCGACATGCGCACAGGCCCTACAATCACCGTGGCCGTCGTCCATGGCACAGCAAATACAGCTCTACGAGCACAGGTTGAGGCACACACTGCAGCACCACGATGTTGGCAGAAGTCATAAAGCCATGCCTCCGATCCAGGATGCTCCATCTACGTGCGGATGCACTCGAACTAGCAACCGTGCTTGCTCCCAAGCAAGTTTTCTCACTTTGCCCAGAGAAGAACCATCGGCAGAGCTCAAGGGACCGATTGACGTGGAGAGAAGCAGAAGACATCGTGCACGCGACTCAAGCTGCCAAGAGAAGGCATCACAGCACAAAGAAAACCCGTCCCTGAGGTGCATTCGCTCAAAGCCTTCAAGATACACAACCAACGCTGCGCTCACGTGACCCCTCGGCCGCAATGCCAAAATGAACACATGCAGTGTGTTTGCCAACTCGAACACGGGATTACCACCAGCGCGCGAGACGACGAGAAAAAAAAAACGCCTGGTGTCCTTGCCGCCATCATCTTCAAAACGTCAACACCACCTCAGGTGCTTCAAGCTCTGTATTCGATTCGCCGCAGCATCAAGCCAAGTGAACGACAGAAAGCCGCACGACTTTCAGAAACACTTGCAACAACAGTACACAAGCCAAGACACTGCGCAGCAAGCCGTCCCAACACATGCTCCACTTCCGCACCGTCTCAGGAGAACTACTGTGCAGCTGCACCCTAGCGGAGTGCGCCCCTCCTTTCGGCGACGTCGCACTCGAAGAAACACTGCGCAAATATTTGCACAACACCCTTGGCATGCCAAGATACCGAACGAAGTTCCTCATCCACAACAACGTCGTGAGCAAAAACGACAGCTGGAGCACCCTCACCGTCTGGACACACCATCAAACTCCCGTAGACATCCACGTGATCATGGCAAGCTGCACGAAAGAACATGGAGGTGAGCTCTCGTCGGCAATCAAAGCAAAGGACGCGACTCGACTGAATTGCTTGCTGGAGTCAACCGCGGACCCCAACCAGACCATCCTAGCTCGGATACAGCACTATCCCGCTGCGTACATGAAGCCCCTGCAATACGCCGTCTGGCTCCGAGCAAAGAAGACCGTCGACATGCTTCTCCTCGCAAAAGCAGACGTCAACAACGTCAACAGAGACACGCCGCTGACAATCGCGTGTCGAAATGGCGATCTGAAAATGACGCGAGACCTTCTGCGCTCAGGCGCCGCCATCAACCTCGAAGACGCTGCAGGAAACGCACCTTTGCACATCTCGGTGGCGAGAAGCTCAACACGCATGGTCAGGTTACTACTCCGATGCGCAGCCAACCTCACACTGCGAAGAAGCTTCGACGGACTCACTGCCCTGGCCGTAGCGGTATTGCACAGCCGGTCCAAGATAGCACGACTTCTCCTACAGCGCGGCGCTATTCAGCACGAGCCCAGAACGTCTCGTACAGCCTTGCATGTCGCAGCCGCGCAAGACCAAGCACCCTTCATGCGCATGCTAACCAGAGCAGGAGCCGACGTCAATGCTACAGACAGCCAAGGTAACCTGCCGGCGCAGCTCCTGCCGAAAGCCAAGACCTTCAAGCATCGATTCACTTGCAAGCGGCTGCTGACACACGCCGGAAACGACGAACCAGCCGCAAGCGTCTGCCAACGCCCTCAAACAGCGAGTCCCCAAGCCCAAAACGCGACTGAGCTACACAGACCAGTGCACTCGTGACGCCTACCGACTTCATTCAAAGAAATGACCGCAAGAGAGTCAACAATCGCGCAACTCGAGAGAGAAAAAAACGCGCAGCAGACAATGCAAGCAATCCTTGCACAAAACGCTTCGAACAGCTTCGCATAACCTCGCTGACTCCACAGCTTCTGCCGTAATATGTACGCTGACAGCTCAAACCTGCAAGAAGGCCCCAGCAGTCCCCGCCTATGCCAATCGCCCATGGCGGCCCACTATGACCGCGACCTCTCCCAGAACATAGCCAATGCCTTCGTCGATACTGTCCGAGAGCTCCCGACATATTTCAACGTGCAGCAACCCTTGCAGCCAGGACGCATGCCCGCCGAGACGGCAAGGGGTGTCCAGAAATTGACAAACCACATGCAGCTGAACGAATCCGACACGCACTGGCTGCAATGCCTCGCCTCGCAGCTGCACCCCGAAACAGGCCCCACACTCCTGCCAGACTTGTGGGAACTCAAGCGACGGGTCGCCACTGCTGTCGAGCGACAGCATGAAAAACCTCGGGAGCCATCACCGTTCAGGTTACCGCCCGCAACACTGGAATGGCACCCGGAACTACCACCACCACGAGCAAAGAAGCGACCAAGAGAAGCGAGTCCCGCGTGGAAGAGCACAACCGCAGCAGCCAGGTCCCATTCATTTGCCGTTCAAAGGAGACACAGCGCTTCGCAGGGATCGCGTAGCTAGGTATAATAGCCGTCCCAACGCAAGAAAGGTCAGCACGAGACCGACGAGAAGCCGCACGGATCACGCTCAATGAAGGCGACTCCCTCATGATCGGCGATGCCAACAGTACAGCGCAGCAGGCAAAACGGGATCCGAGTCGAGCGGACACACAACAGCACGGCTCACACGGACCAACGACGAAACATGCCGGCCCTCCAACCATGTATATAGCAGCCCCGTAAAATGAAGTGTCAGATTGGCACTCCCAAGGCAGCATGCACCCAATCGAGCCTAATCCTCAAGACAAGCTATAACACAAGACAACGATACCTATGGCAAACTTGTCCAACCGTCACGCTCCCCTCGCCAAGGCTACCGCGGCAATACCACGAGCACCAAACCCAGACAGCTAGCAGATAAAAAAAAAAGCAGCATTGCCGCACCACGTGAGACCAGTGGCAGTACGTGCTGGCAAATGTGCAAACGATCCTCAATGCTTCAGCAGACTTGCTCAAGACAAAACAAAGGACAGCCTTCCGCCGCCGTCGACTCTCCCGATGGCCTCTACGCACCGCTTAATCACAGTACTCATGGCGACATCCGGCGAAAAGGTGACCGACGTACAAATTGCAGAAGAACGCAACACGATCCGCCACGTCAAAGAACAACTTCAAGCGCAACTCGGAATCCCACGCTTCCAGCAACGACTACTCCTTCACAAGGAGAGCCAGCAGATGCCAGAAGAGTGGGTCCTCGACGTCAACATCAAGCAGGTGTTCCTGGTCCAAGTCTCCTACATCACGGTGTCTCAGCAGATGGAATTCGAGCTACTGAACGCAATCAGCAAAAAGCCGACGCACGACGTTGAGGCCATCCTCCAGCGACCGCAGCATCCCGACTCGTCGACGGGTGAGTTATGTCAAACTTGCGGCGGCGCGCAGACAACGGCACTAGAACTGGCAGCCAGGTGCAACAGAGCCGAACTAGTGAAGATAATGCTAGAAGCCAGGGCAAACGTGCACAGGCAAGGCAGCAACCTGTCCTTACACGAAGCAGCCGCCAATAACAACTGCGACATAGCCGACATGCTCCTACAGGCCAAAGCAACCCCAAATGTCAAGTGCCCAGACACAGGCACCACGCCGCTCATCGAAGCCACCAGCAGGCACCACTGGGAAATCATGCACACTCTCCTAGAAGCAAAAGCCGAGCCCAACGCCAGCGATCCACTCGGCATTACACCGCTCCACTTCGCCTGCGGCCAGGAAAGCAAACACCCAGTGCTGGCACTGTTAGAACACGGCGCAAGTCTCAACGCCAGAGATGAATGCAACGACACACCTATGGACGTGGCTCTCTGGACGGACAACCTGCACATGCTAGAAGACGTGAGAGACAAGGCCTACGAGTTTGCACACAGCTGCTGCGAATCAAACGAATCCGAAGAAGCTTCCATCTCCGAGGACACCAACGACGACAGGATGAGCCTCGACGACTCAAACACCGACAACAACGAGACACATCGCCCAGGCAGCTGACAAAATGTATATAGAACTCGACACAAGCATCGCGCGACGAATCGCACCGAAAACCCTTCAAGAGAAAAAGGCAGCTTGCCAGGCTCTTGTCGATGCACCAAAGCTCATAGATGCCGCCAACCTAGCCATGCTCCCCGTTCCAGACGACATTCAAGAACCCTTCCCATCTAGCCTGCAAACTTCTCCTCCCGCCGCCTAGTGCTCGAACCAGCTCCATGCCATTTTCGCCAGCTCTCGCGCTGCTTCCACGCAACTTTGAGCCCGCCTATGAGTCGCACCTACAGGCTTCGAGATCACATCGACAGCAGTGTCAGCCCAGGTCGTCGCCGCAGTCCATCCAGACAGCCCACAAGAGTCCACACAAGCAACCGCCAACTGACGTGGGCCGAGATACAAGAGCTCCGACAAGAAGTTCGCAATCTAGCAGCCTGCGTGGACAGACTACACGAAACCATCAGGCGCCTGCAGCAACGCCTACCAGCTCGTACCACAAGTCCTGAGACGCGAGAAACTGGATAGAAAGCCCACCGCTCTCAAAACTGGACGAAAAAGCTCCAGTGAACGATTGACAAAATTAGGAGAGCCCCGTCCGACCCTCTAGAAACACGCACGAGGGAATCCGTCTGCAAAAGCAACCACCAGTCCTCTCAGAAACCAGGATGAAAAATGTCAAAAAACAACAAGAGTCTACATACCATAACACACGGAGTGACCATCACAACTTCGCTGTCTCTTTCAGAGCCAACCACGTCTGATTGCGGTAATGCATTCACCTGCACGGAACAACGAGAGCCAATAATACGAACGAAAGTTTGCACCTGTGTCCCCGCCAGCCCGCTTGGCTCAATCAAGCTAGATCAAGAATTGCCAAGGTAGAGTAGCACGACTTAGTGTTTCGCTCGCAATGAACATGCTGTCACCGGACGAACGCACGCATCTCGGCGCTGACGGTTACATCCACCTGGCAAGGCGGCTCAAAAATGCTGAAGAAATCCAACGCTGGACCCAGGCCCTTCGCGAATGGCAACCTCCCAGCAAACTCCTCAGAGTGCACTTAGAGCACAACGACCTCACCGCAGAGCATGCCGCACAAATCCTGAACGCGATCAACGGACCAGTACAGGCCGTGTACCTCCATCACAATCAACTGCGAAGCCTGCAAACCCTGGATTCCTTTCTGGAGAGACATTCCCGAACACTGCTTGAACTACACCTCAGCCACAACAACCTATGCACCCTGGAAGCCGAAGCATTGCTGCTACAAATCGGGCAACTTCCTCTAGACTCGACAGACTCCACGCCGTCCAACACCTGCTCCTGGATCCGCCTCGAGTTCAACTGCATCGACGTCCAGAAGCTCACCGACCGTCTACCCAGAAGCATCAACAGACGTCTACAACTGGAGGACAACGGCTGCACCCCAACACGCTGCCGCTGCCTAAACCGGCAGCACAACCACCGCCTCCACTCGAAGTTCCTCCTCATGCAGCACAACGCCATGCCCAACGCCGAAGACAGACACGGACGGTAAGATCCCCAAATCGACCAGAGAGCACCTGGCTGCAACACCAAACAACAAGCGCGGCCGCGAGCAAAAAAAAAGGCGTCTGGTAGCTCCAGCCGTGACATACTACCTATCTAAACTTCAGCTTGCACTACCAGTCGGAATCCTGATTCACGTGCATGCCATAAAGGACACCACCTGGAATCCTTATCCACGTGCATTCTATATAGAAAACCACATGGAATCCGTATCCACGTACATTTCATGAAGCAAAACTTCCTGGAATCCATATCCACGTGCATTTTATGAAGGAAAACCACCCGGAATCCTTATCCACGTACATTGTAGAAAGAAAAAAACCACATGGAATCCTTATCCACGTACATTTTATGAAGAAAAACCACGTGGAATCCTTATCCACGTGCATTTTATGAAGGAAAACCGCCTGGAATCCTTATCCACGTGCATTTTATGAAGGAAATTCACCTGGAATCCTTACCCACGTGCATTTTATGGAGGACAACCACTTGCAATCTTTATCCACGTGCATTTTATGAAGGAAAACCACTTGGAGTCCTTATCCACGTGCATTTTATGAAGCAAAACCACCTGAACTTCTTATCCACGTGCTTTGTATGAAGGAAAACCACCTGGAATACTTATCCACGTGCATTTCATAAAGGAAAACCACTTGAAATCGTTATCCGCGTGCATTTTATGAAGGAAAACCACCTGCAACTCGCATCCACATGCCATGAAAACCACCTGCAATCTGTAGCCACGTGCATTTTATGAAAGAAACCCAACTGGATTCCTTATCCACGTGCATTTTATGAAGGAAAACCACTTGGAATCCTTATCCACGTGCATTCTTTGCAGAGAAACCACCTAGAATCTTTATCCACGTGCATTTTATGAAGAGAAACCACCTGCAATCCTTATCCACGTGCATTTTATGAAGAGAAACCACCTGGAATCCTTATCCACGTGCACTTTATGAAGGAAAACCACCTGGAATCCTTATCCACGTGCATTTTATGAAGGAAAACCACCTGGAATCCTTATCCATGTGCATTTTATGAAGGAAAACCACTTGGAATCCTTATCCACGTGCATTGCATGAACGAAAACATTTGGAATTCCTATCCACGTGCAGTTTATGAAGGAAAACCACCTGAAATCCTTATCCACGTGCATTTTATGAAGGACAAGCACCTGGAATCCTTATCCACGTGCCTTCTATGAAGGAAAACCATCTGAAATTGTAACCACCTGGAGTCCTTATCCACGTGCATTTTATGAACGAAAACCGCTTGGAATCCTTATCCACGTGCATTTTATGAAAGAAAACCACCTGGAATCCTTATCCACGTGCATTTTATGAAGGAAAACCACCCGAAATCCTTATCCACGTGCATTGCATGAAAGAAAACCACCTGAAATCCTTATCCACGTGCATTTGAAGAAGGAAAACCACCTGGAATCCTCATCCACGTGCATTTTGCGAGAGAAAACCACCTGAAATCCTTATCCACGTGCATTTGAAGAAGGAAAACCACCTGGAATCCTTATCCACGTGCATTTTGTGGAGGAAAACCACCTGGAATCCTTATCCACGTGCATTTCATGAAGGAAACCCACCTGGAATCCGTATCCACGTGTATGTTATAGGAAAACCACCTGGAATCCTTATCCACGTGCATTTTATGAAGGAAGCCCACCTGGAATCCTTATCCACGTGCATTTTATGAAGAGAAACCACCTGGAATCCTTATCCACGTGCATTTTCTGAAGCAAAACCACCTGGGATCCTTATCCACATGCATTTTATCACTTGAAATCCCTATCCAGGTGCATTTTATGAAGGAAACCCACCTGAAATCCTTATCCACGTGCATCTTATGAAGGAAAACCACCTAGAATCCTTATCCACGTGCATTTTATGAAGGAAAAACAATTGGATTCTTTATCCACGTGCATTTTATGAAGGAAAACCACCTGGAATCCTTATCCGCGTGCATTTCATGAAGCAAAACCACCTGGAATCCTTATTCATGTGCAGTTTATGAAGGAAAACCACCTGGAATCCTTATCCACGTGCATTTCATCAAGGAAAACCACCTGGAATCCGTATCCACGTGCAGTTTATGAAGGAAAAGAACCTGGATTCCTTATCCACGCGCAGTTTATGAAGGAAAACCACCTGAAATCCTTATGCACGTGCATTTTATGAAAGAAAACCACCTGGAAGCCTTGCCCACGTGCATTTTATGAAGGAAAACCACCTGGAACCCTTATCCACGTATTTTTTTTACAGGAAAACCACCTGGCATCCGTATCCACGTGCATTTTATGAAGGACGACCACTTGGAGTCATTAGCCAGGTGCATTTTATGAAGGAAAACCACCTGGAATCCTTATCCACGTGCATTCTTTGCAGAGAAACCACCTAGAATCTTTATCCACGTGCATTTTATGAAGAGAAACCACCTGCAATCCTTATCCACGTGCATTTTATGAAGGAAAACCACCTGGAATCCTTATCCACGTGCATTTCATGAAGGAAATCCACCGGGAATCCTTATTCACGTACATTTTAGGAAGGAAAACCACCTGGAATCCTTATCCACGTGCATTTTCTGAAGCAAAACCACCTGGGATCCTTATCCACATGCATTTTATCACTTGAAATCCCTATCCAGGTGCATTTTATGAATGAAAACCACCTGGAATTCTTAGCCACGTGCAGTTTATGAAGGAAAACCACCTGGAATCCTTATCCAAGTGCATGTTGTGAAGGAAAACCACCTGGAATCCTTATCCACGTACATTTATGAAGGAAAACCGCCTGGAATCCTTATCCACGTGCATTTTATGAAGGAAACCCACCTGAAATCCTTATCCACGTGCATCTTATGAAGGCAAACCACCTAGAATCCGTAACCACGTGCATTTTATGAAGGAAAAAGAATTGGATTCTTTATCCACGTGCATTTTATGAAGGAAAACCACCTGGAATCCTTATCCACGCGCATTTTATGAAGGACTACCACTTGGAGTCCTTATCCACGTGCATTTTATGCAGAGATACCACCTGGAATCCTTATCCACGTGCATTTGAAGAAGGAAACCCACCTGGAATCCTTATCCACGTGCCTGCATGAAGGAAAGGCACCTGGAATCCTTATCCACGAGCATTTTCTGAAGGAAAACCACCTGAAATCCTTATCTACGTGCATTTATAAAAGAAAACCCAAAGTTCCCCAGCACGTCGCAGTGGCTCCAGACGTTCCCACGCAATAGCAACTCGTAGCAAAGACCACGAAGCCATGGCGAAATCGGTACACACGACTGCAGAAGCAGCTAAGCGACGACGCTTCTGCGCCACCTCCATCACCTCCACTAACCCAGCCAGATCAATTACCAACAACAACAACGGAGACGGGTCCCAACTAGTGGCCACCGTCAGGCGCTGGGGAAGCACATTTGGCGTCTTCGACGACGGCTCCAGAACAGAAACACTCTGGCAACTGCAAGTAACCCACGGCGGGCGTCAATCCTTCGGCTACCATTTGCTGACAGTGTGCAGGGAAGCGCTGCAACAGCATCCAAACGAGAAAGTGCGTGATCCAATCCAACTAGAATCAGAGCTGCACATCAAGATTCTCAATGGAGCGCCGCCACACGCCGGACCAGCAGATCCAGATGGGGTCGGACTGGAAGCCTGGCAGCCAGTCATCTACGCCCCGACCCCGGCGGACGGCATGAACATCGTACAGTTCATCATGCGGCACAAAGTCAACGCCGGACACCTGCTGCAAATGCCACAGCTGGTCGCCCTCTTCCCAAACGAAGAACAAAACACGCCAGTCCCCACGGCCTGGGTGGTGCACAAAGAACACATCCTACAAGCACCAACATTCAGAGCCCTCCCACCGAGGGGACGGCGCCACGTCATGCTACAAGTAGAGATAGCAATGCCAAGCCAAGAAGAGCACGACATCGCCGCCAACCAAGAAGTATCAAGCAGCCAAGAAGAAGAGGACAATGCGGAGGGCATCGCTGTCGACAAAAGCTACAGCATCATGATCTTCGGTGGGATCTACGGCTTTCGCGAGCTCTTCGACGCAGCCAACATCCAAGGAGGACTCGTACCACAACCTGACGGAACCAAAGACGAATACGTACGACACCTAAAGATCACCTTGTCAGACGAAGGCCAGAGCAAGCTAACCGCAATCCTCGACCAAGTCCTGTTGCGAGTTCCAATCTACCTCATCGATCAGACAGAACAGCAGGACGATCCGCTAATAAGCTGGCTCCTGAGGCAACCATCAGTGTACCTCGGCGAAAAATCCACGCAGTCGACCTGAGCAAAACAGCAGCCTGGACAAAACCAGCCAGGTGAAGCCCGCAGGCCTGCGAAGAGGACCAAGTCCGAGAAAGAAATGCAATCGTCTCGTCAGTTTCACGCTGCACTAATCAAATTCGTGTAGCGGGCAGGACACACACGCCCGACAGGTCCCGCCCCTCGCAGCAAGGAATCGAAGAAGCAGCGAAAACGCCTTGCAGGAGCAGGACCCTCCGCATACGTCCCAACGCAAGATTCACCCACAGGCACGACACGTTTGAAGTCCCGCAGCAACTATCCGGCTCGAGTCTACGTCCTCAATGCCATGAACCGCCACCAGCAGGAAGACCACCCTCCAAGACACGAGCGGCGCTCCGCAGAGAAGCCACGATTCAGCCGCCGACGCATACGCAGACAGCCCCACCGCAGAAACGCAATCCAACAGCAGCTCGAGAACATCATCCGTCGACGCTGGCAAGACGAGCAGGAGTACACGAATGCCACATCGCTGCGAAGCCTCCTGCTGCACTTACTGAGGTCCTCAAAGCCACCACGCCACCAGAAGCAGCACCTCTGGCAAGACGCGTGCTGGTTTCTCACCCGAAAGTGCGAACCTCGGCCTAACTCGAGCAGAATACGCAGCAGAACAGCCCAACGGCATCACGAGACACGACCC